GGAGGTCCGGGAGCCGCCGCCGCTTCACTGCCCCACACGCGCGCCCGGCAGGGAGGGGTGGCGAGCCGCTCTCCGGCGGGGACGGCACTGCGCAGGCGCCGAGTTCCCCCCTCCCCTTTTTCAAGGCTTCGGCTCCTTCAGCCGCCTCGGCGTTCCATCAGCCCCGTTCGGTGGATCCTTCCGCGCCATCCCACCCGCGGAAAACGAGGGTCCTCCGAGGAAGAAATAGTCCCTGGGCCAGCTGGCGCTCCGGCCGCGTCTTCTTTCTCCCCGCTGGGCTGCCTGGGCGCCGCCTGCCCCTCGCACCGTCTCTCTGCAGTTTTCTCAAGGAGAAGGGGGGGAGATGGGTAAGAGGCAAAGCCCACCCTGCTGGGATGGGGAGAGGAGGGGATGGGCGCCCTCCCAAATTGGGTGAGCCGCCGCTTTGCAGATTTGCGCCCACCCCCACCCCCCGCCAAATGCTCTCCGACATCCTGTGAGTCAGGATGATGCTAAAGTCCAGGGCTTCGCTATGCAACAGGCTGGCTTCCTAATTCTTCCTTTTTTTTTAGGCATTTAAAAAAAAAAAATCTCGGGGGGGGGAAGCAGCAAGGGTTCCACCTGGGCACCTTGTTGCCCACGGCCACCTTCTCTGTGATACCTATATGGCAAAAGGAGATGCTGCTGGACCCTTCCTACCATTTTCATGCTTTTCTCGTCGCCCCTTCCCCACAAAGTCGGTGCTCTTCTCAATGCCAGACTTGTAGCTGTGGCTTCTGGGAGCGGTCGTCCCACCCCCAGCCTGGAGGGTAGCAGTCTGCTCCACCCCCTCTGTCAATTTTGGAAAGGTTCCTTTATGAACCAAGGCACACCAACACCTCTCCCTTTTCCCTGGCTTCTCCCAACACGCTTGCCTAAACATGAGGCTATGATTCAGGGTGTCTTGTGAAAACACCAAAAACCAGGATACTTTGGTCAACCACTGTCAGGTCTACACTGGGAGGACGTGTCGTGCTGACAGAGACACAATTAGATCCTCTGCATCTTTCGTGAAAGCATCAGTCGGCTCTAAAATCAGCATTTGGGGAAAGTGTTACAGGATTACCCATAGTGTGGCAAAGCTGCTGCGAGCATGTGCCCACAACTGTTGCGCACGATTGACATCCTCATACCCAATTTACTTATCTTACAGCTACGTGGATGGTTTGTCTTTTGTTGCTATATTTAGTTTATGCAGGTAGTCCTCATTTAGCAGCTACAATGGGGACTGGCACCTGGGTTGTTAAGCAAAGCGGTCGCTAAGTGAAACCACGATGGTGCTTATCCTCTGACTTCAGCTTTGCAGACCTGCGAAGGATGGGTCACGAAGTTCCTCTTTCATCACCGTCGTAACTGAGGTCACTCAAGCAGGCAGTCACTAAACGAGGACTCCCTGGAGATGTTTTGTTTTGTCGGGTCACTGACCGAAATCATCTATCCTTCTGTGGAAGATATCCATTGCTCAAATGCTGGCTGCGATCCAGGTTGCTTTCGGCAGAGAAGCCATTGCCGTGTGCCAGGTTACTAAGAGGACACAGTTCCTCACTTGACGAGCTTTCCCCAAACCACTTCCCTCCGTCTCAATGGGCCATTGATGCAAAGGGACCGTTTGCGGTTTGCAGCCCTTGCCTTGAAAAGGGCGCGGACGGCTGCCAGCTCCGTCTCCATGGCCTCGCTCTTGGGAAAGGTTGGAAGTGCATCATCCGCTGCCAGGGCTTTGTGGCTGTTAGCGCACACCACTGTATTTTGTGGCCTAGTTAACTGGCAAAAAACGAAGGGAGCCAACCCACCCGCTCTTTCAAAGTAACAGCTGCGAAGGAACCAGCAGTGACCTCATCTAACAGTTTTGGGTTTTTGTTTTTAAAAAAAAAACGTGTAAAGCAATGCAAAGCTGGTGCCAACTCCTGCTACCGCCACACCACCCACGATATACAAAGCTGGGGATCCGGTTTGCTCGTGTTACTCTCATCCGTCTACGGAACATGCAACTGGGGTCAACATGCAGTGATCCTGGCTCCTTGCTATATATATATAGCTGGAGGCACAATATTCAGGTCAGATGATAAGCAGAATGAAGTGGGCAAACATCTGTCAGCGTGGGTCATGAAAGTGGAGCTCAAACACAAAAACCTTGTCAGGGTTTTTTCCCCCCCCCCTCTTCCAATTTCCTTTCACAACCCATCTATTTTCTTTCTGCCATGACGGTTTTAAAAAAGTATCCGTGGACTGGATGTGCTTTAGAAGCAGGTAAGGTAATCAAGAAGTGGGTTTAGTTTTTATTGGTGGAGTTGAAAGCTTCTCTCATGTCACAACATTGCCTTTAATTTTTGTTGTGGGGGTGGTCACCAGATTTACACAATCGGCTTCCATATCAACTTTCATCCAACTGATTCTCTTAATATTATATACCACAGGGTGCCATTCTGAATGCTGTTTGAGAAAAGGCTTACACATAAAGGAAAAGCAAAAAAAAAAAAATCAAACAGCAATTTTATATATCTATATACACACACACACACACATAAAATGATAGTCAAAAACAATTTGATGAACAACAAATAAATCAAGCCCATGTATTATTCACCAGTGTGAAATCATTGCACTTACCAAGTGACTATTGATAAACAATAGTCTCTTGTTGTGTCCACTTAACAGATTAACCAAAAAGCTCAGTTAATATATCCCTATTTACATGCTCCAATATATGCTAGATTTTTTAAACCAATGTTTGAGGTTTATTGTGTTATCAGAATCTAACATAGCTATTATTGTGAGTCTGTGCAGATTACTTATAAGCTTACAGTTTAATATGTATGAATCTAGCTTTGATCTCAATTAAACTTTCAGTATTCTAGATGAATCTACACCAATCTGGTGACCTCCAAGCATACTGGAACTACAATTCCCAAAATGTCTAACGTGACCAGTAAGGAGATGCAAATAAACCACAATATATGGCTCCACTTAGTCTTACTGAAGCCCATAATTTATTTTCAGCTACAGTGGAAGCCATAACAAGGATAACATGGGTACTTAATATTTCTGAGTTTTGAATCATCAACATTATCAAAAAACAGGATAATCAAGATTGAGAATCATCTTTATTGACCACCAGACCATTCTATAGCACATTCAGCACAGTTCAACAATCCAATACTCCATTGCCATCCCATCATTCTATGAAAAATAAAAGAACAGCTAAATATAAAGCCGGAATAAGCTCAGTTTACAGCAAAAAGATAGGGAAACAATTTCACAGATCATCTAAACAGCAAAAAAGGAAAATCTTTTCGCCACCCTTGAAAGAAGAACCCAGAGAGGAGTTGGTTACAAAAGTGAAAATATTTGGTTAGAGAAAGATGAATTCCTTCTGCAAAAATCTGTTTGGACTAGATAGAAAAAACACAGCAATGTTTTTTTCACCAAATGCCTGAAGCAAAAAAAAAAGATAAAGACTCAATAGTCTTAAGAAGCCAGCAGGTGACAAGTAAACAAAGTCAATACATGAGCTATATTTTCCAAGGAAAGAAGGAATCATCTTTGGAGGCCTCCAAATCAATTGTCTGCAATTCTCAAGCCACTTTATTCTAGGTAATAGGAAATTAACACCAATGAAGATTTCAAGAAATCAACCACTTTGAAGAAAATTTTAAATACGTAGAGAGAAGTATAAAAACCAAGATTTCAACCCTATCTAAATTCAAATGTTGCCCAAGAAGGGGAAGTATTTGCCATGGAATTTCATTATTACAAAGCAATCTTTGTCCCACCTCACCCTCACCCGTACATTTCCTTTCTGCAGATGGTACAAAAGAATCTACAAGCAGAACAATGATAGGCAGTTGGGTATGAACCATAAGGCTTACCTAATTTAGAAAGTTAGTCCATGGAAGAGTTCAATAAAACACAACACTCCAAGTAGAATACATGGTCAAGTTGACTTTCTGAATTAGATAAGATAGACGTGATGGGGATGACATCAGAAAGAAGAGGAATGTTGAAATAATGTATAAAGTGTAGCTAAGGCAAGATCTCTGATTCAAACCTGGAAAGGTCTCAGTTACAGTGTTGGGAATATTTTGCCTGTTTACAATCAAAAGCAAATTGAACACGAGAAATACATGTCCTCTTTTCTTTTTGGCAGTTGCCCCAAACATCTCTGAGAAATCCAAATCCTTCAATTATTACAATCCTCTGTGTTTTAAAAAATACTGCATTCCAAGCAGTATGGGCAAAGTGATTAAAACAGGGCACTGCGGCACCTTCTCAAAGTTTCTCAATAAAAAGCTGCCTTCATAGAAAAAATGAGTAGCGAGTATTTTAGCTGTTTAACTCAAGTGGATCATTCACAGCAATTTTTTAATATGCATCTGAAACCTTTGTGCAATATTGTTTCTTAAACAGTTAAGACTTGAATTAATTCCACAGGAAGGAAACAATGAGAATAAAATAAGTTTTTTCCCCCCCTGGGTGAGTATGATGCATCAGTATTAAAACCATCAGCATCTGAGTTCCTAATATGAGAAAGGAATAACCTCAACTGGAAAAATAGCCTTCACTGTGCCCAAGTACAGTACTTTGATGGAAAGCACAGATATTTTTCAAGATTGTGGCAGTGATATCAGCTGTTGAAACTTAATCTTGGCTACGAGAGAAGTGGATTAAGGAACTACAGTAAAATTCTGACGTGCTGAGACATTGCAATAATAGACTTCTGCCAAACTGCCAAAGAATTAGAAGAGGGTTAAAGTCAAAGTCAATATGAAGATATATCCTTGACATAGATTCCAGCTGGTACCTAGTAAAGAGCAACATATGAGAGAAACAATTGTTTTAATAAATGCTATTTCCAGAATTCCTTGTTAGTGTGATTTACTGAAGACATTTATAGGAAAATTGGTATTTTCCTATCAGGTATACAAAGATCATTATGTAGAACTTAAGGAGATGTTTACACAAAAAAAGAGAAGTTATGCTGCAGTAACAAAATGGTAACCAGGAAGGACAAAGACTATTTTAGAAATGGACCTTTCGTTCATCAGGGAACAAAGCCATGTAACATTCATGCCACAAATCAAACAACTCCAAGCTAACTTGGGCACAGAAGCACAAGACTGATCTCACGACTGAAACTGAACCCTGCTGCAGAATTTTGATGATGTCCATTGGAACCAGTTGAGTGGAAATTTGGAACACCTCCCCCATCAAGTTTCTTTCCCAGCATCGTTTTTAAAATAGAGATCAAGCAGCAACAGCCTGCTACAAGATCTAAAGTCATCAAGACCGAACTGCTAAACTTCAACAGCAAAGTGTTGTTTGGAAAAAACCACAAAGGCAACATTTTGCATTGAAGCATTCCAACAAAAAGTTCCCTGCTGAAGTCTTAAGTTGGATGAGGGTTCTCATCTAAATCTATTTCTGAATCTGTAGTCAATGCTTCAGAGAATGATCAGGGGAACTACTGCTTTATTGGTGTAGCTTAAGATTGAGGCCATGGTGTGGTTTTTCATAATACGCACCAGAAGCATCTTGACATGCTCCAGCTCTGAAACGTAGAGCAACCAGCCTCTTATACTTCAACTATATGCAACTAGCCTTTTCAAAAAATGTATACATGAGCCATGAGCAAAGTAGACAATGCACATACCTGCTACAATTAAGGCGAAAAGAGTATTGAAAGGCAGGATGTAATAACCTTTTTCAATCATTGTCCAAAATCGAGATGTTTCCTCCAAAATCAGAAGTTCCAGGAGGCAATGCTTCAAAGCACTTTTACGAACACACGTTAAAGAAGGTAGCTTAAATTTCTCAGATTGCATTATTCACAAATTTAATCACAGCAAGACGTCCTATCAACCTCTTTTTCTAGCGTTTTCCCAATGCAGCAGGCCAATAAGAGGCCCAACTGCATAAAATACATGTAGGTTTTGCACGGAGGTGAGAGCACCTGGGATGCCTTAAAGCTCATCCTTGATTCTCTTGTCTGTGCTTTTGATGTTGACATCCAAAGTATCAACTTTGCAGGTGAGGCGATGCAGGATCTCATCCTGCTCATCAATTTCAGACTGCAAGCCAAGAGCAAGATTTTTCAGTCGCCCCAACCCGGAGGACATGTCCTCTGCAAAGAGCCCCCACAAAAAAATAAGATTAGCAACACAAGAGATAGACAACACAGACTTGCTTGAGAGGCAGTTTATTTCTCCCTCCAGAAGTTAAGTTAATTCCATCCCTACTAATGTTCTGGAAGTCCCTCAAGACCTGGTTGTGTCACCAGGCTTGGGGGTCCCAGGGGACGAATAACATCTTAAGATGCCTCTACTATTGATACCTTCACTCTCTCCATGCCCATGGTTTACATATTTGGTTTTTAATATATTTCAATTTTAATAATTGTTTTAGATTTTTATAATTTGTTTTTGATTGTTCTACGCTGCCCTGAGTCACTTTTTGTGAGATGGGCGGCTATACAAATTTGATAAATAAATAAAATATCCAATACTCATGAAATTCCCTTGATTAAATAAAAAAATCAGTGAAGAGGACTGATGGGCATTGCTATTTCTGAATGGCCCGAGGCAGAAGTGGGAAAAACAGCCGGACACCAGATGTTGGTGGACCTCTCATAGCTCAGCCAGTATCTTCAACTACCAGGCCTGATGAGATATTAGTATTATTTATTTGATTTGTACGGCCACCCAACTAACCTGAGCGACTCTGGACAGCTCACAACAGGTAAAAAAAAATAGTCCAATAAAAACAAGTTAAAAAAACCAATATACAAGCATATAAAACCCACCCATAATCAATTAAAAACAACAAATCATTGTCAGTGGTAAAATCCATCCTTACATCAGCTCAACACAGCCACTGTGAAAGGCCCCCACCCCTGCCAGTCCCCCAGGCATGACAGCAGAGCCATGTCTTCAGGGCCTTCCTAAAGGCCAGGAGGGTCGGTGCCCATCTAAGGTCCGGGTGG